TATGATATCATATATATCAATTAATTTAATAATATAACTTATATCATATTATTAATCGTAAATTTTCATATTAAAGTTTTATCATCTTATTGTTACTGTTTGGATAAACTAAAGAAAATTAGGCATAAATTTACCTTTAGCCATTTACCTTAATAAATTTATAGGTTTTAGTTCTTTATTTTATACTATGACATTTTTAACTCCTCACCTATAAGAATTGAAGAAAATAACCCTTATTTAATATCATGTTAGTTAATTGTTAGTTCTGTTAGCTAACTATTAGTTTTGTTAACTGACTGTTAGTTCTATTAGCTGACTGTTAACTCTATTAGCTAATTGTTAGTTCTGTTAATTTTGTTAGCTTTTTACCTTAATAAATTTATAGGTTTTAACTCATCACCTTATATTATGACATTTTTAACTTCTCATCTATAAGAATTGAAGAAAATAACCCTTATTTAATATCCTGTTAGTTGACTGTTAACTCTGTTACCTAACTGTTAGCATTCCGTTATAGAAAACATGAAATTTAAATTCAATTTTATTTATTAGTTCTATTAATAGAATACTAACAATCAGTTAATAAATTTAATAATTAGTTAACAGAATTAATAGGTAATTAACAAAATTAATAATCAATTAATAGAATTAATAATCAATTAACAGAATTGATAAAATGTTATAACTTAACATTAAGTAAAGGTTATTTTCTTCAATTTGTATAGATGAGAGATTAAAAATATTATAATATAAGATGAGAGATTAAAACTTATAAATTTATTAAAGTAAAAGTTTAAAATAAGTTTTTGTTAAAAAAATTCTAGTGCAGTTTATGTTGCCTGCTTTGTTCAGACAACACCTGCGTACTCCTCAACAAATATGTTTCTCTCCATCATTATCTCATCTGTCTACTTTAGTCGGTCCCACCTCAATAACTTCTGTCTTAAATTTTCGTTCATCATCTTTGTGACTTGACTTTTCTGTCTCTGGAACCCGTTGACCCATTGTCTCACTGATCTTTTTATTTTGCATTCTCACACCGCCAACTCTCCCCATAATAGGTATGTAAAACCAACTCTCAAACTATAACAAAGTTCTAGACGAGATGAATCCGCAGCCAACTTGTTGAAACAGAAAATACTCTAGTCGGGTTGCAATCTGGATTGGGGTTCGGTCCAACTCGAATCCCTGTAAAATTTGAGAATTTGTTTTAAAAAAGGACACTCTAATACTTAAATAAATAAGTAACTTATAATTTGTAAAGAAAAAAACTATCAATTAAAATGTAATTATTTAAAAAATAATAAATAAAAAAATATTTATAATTTTTATTTATAACACTCGTGGCAAGTATCAAATTTGTATTAGTCTACTTATCATAGTGTGGGTAGTGAGCTCCTTTGTATGGCCTTTCCTTAATGGGTCTCTTCTTGACCAGTGGCCTATCATGATGCATTGCGCTGGTGTTGGATTACTATTCTAACACAACTAAAATTAGAAAGGGCATTACAGCATAGAGATTGAGAAATTTTCAAAGAGTGTAAAAATCGAAGGTCACAAAGAAGAAGAGTTATTTCACCCAAGTCTATAGCAAGAGGTCCCCTAGTCCCAGCTGGCTAGTAATTACCCTGAAGCGAATAGTGATTCTAATTAAATTAAATGTCAATTTTAGTTCTTTAACATTAGAATTTTGTATATTTTTTGTCTTACAATTTTTTATGTACTTTTTTAATCTTTCAGCTATAAAAAATATATTTTTTAAATTCTTTCA